CCATTTAGTACTACGGACTAGGGGTATTCCTCTTTACTTATATGTGAGAGGTCTTAGGCTCGATTCTCGTAAAAAATGAATTTGAACCACATTGTTGTTAGCGCACTCTCCTACCCTCTTACATAAATTTTATTTTCAAACAAGTTACCGAAAAAAAATTAGGCTAAAATCATTATTAATAATCTTGGGCTAAACGTTTTAAGTCATAAGGGTTGAAGGAGAAAAACAGTTTAGATGGTCTAAGAGGGTAGGGGAGTTGGCTAACAATAATGTGGTTCAAGTTTGCCTTTGGCGAGAATTGAATATAAAACATCTCACTTACAAATAAAGAAAAATATCACTAAATCAGTAGTATCAAGTAACTACCTATTTTAATATTAACTAATTAGAATTAAGTAGATTGTCCTTCATTAACCTCAAGTCAAACGAATTAACTATTTCAGTTTTGAATTTCTTGCCATTGAGGCCTCAAATGTGGAGGGAGTGTAATTGAAACCTTTTAAGTTTTTAATTGGCAAACTTATCGATCTTGATTCTTGACTAGTACATAGATTGGGTCCTCTACTATTCCCTTTGGCTACACATGCATGGAACATCTCCAAGCCTCTCTATGTATATTCTCCCCCCTTCACCAATTTCGTCACATCTTAATTTGTTCTGGTATTATAAATTTATAAATTAATATCCTTTTCTCACAAAGGCAAATGAGGCAAGAATATGGTTTGTGATGAATATTGTTGTCATTGTGGTTTCAATATTATCACAATCTCCACCAGTTTATGGAGAGCAACAAGTACCTTGTTTCTTCATTTTAACGATTCATTGACCGATAATGACAATAATAACCTTCTCGCGACATCTGCGAGAGTTAATTACCAGCCCTACGGGATTGATTTTCCCGGAGGACCAACAGGAAGATTTTGCAATGGCCGCACCACAGTGGACGTACTAAGTCTTACCTATTTCCTCTCTCTTACTTTCTCTGTCTCTCTGTCTCTCTGTCTCTCTCTCTCTCTAGTTTGTGTTCTCGCTCCAGTTGTTATTTGTTTCATTATATAATAATTCTTATGAATCCTTATATTTCCTAGCTCGTCCTCGGTTTAACACTTTGCGGCACAAAGGTGCGGTTTGCAAATGATGACACATATTTGAAATTTACACACCATTAATTCTATCTGCCATTTTTTTTTATTCCTTATACTTGGTTTAGAACTTTAGAGGATAAGCCTTCAGTTAACCCTTAATTATCTCCATCACCACTTATCATGCTCACTAATATTCATCATTCCTTGTTTATTTCTTTGAATTCTATTTCCTGGTTTCGTAACTTTCTTAAACTTTAATTTTCTCTTTAATTGTAATTTTGGCTTTCTAGTTTACCTTAGGGGTGCAACTCGGGTGGGTTGGGTAAGTTGGAAAGTCAACCCAATCCTAACCCAACTTTCACAATTCAGGCTCAGGATCGGGCTGGGTTTCATTTCGGATTCATTTGGGCTTGGGTTTAATTGGGTTAAGGTTTACTTGACTTGGGTTTGGGTTGCCTAACGTTGTCAAGTTTAATCTTGTAACAATTTAGTTTCCAAGAATTCCTGAAAAAAAATTAAGCCAAGTATCATCAAAGCTAACTTACTCTAATTTCATAAATCAATCTACTATAAAACTTTAGGATTTAGAGACTACAAATATGGGTTGACTAATCAAAGTCTTTTATTTCCTAAAAGCTTAAGTAATTATAATGGGTAATTATTAAAAAAATATTAGAAAGGGCGTTGGTTTTTGGACTTGGCACACTTAGGTGTAGTATGAGCATTAATTGATATGAGTTACAATTTGGTTAGATTGAGTTTGGTTAGGTTGGGTTGGGAATGGATGGGCAAATGATCAACTCAACTCAACCCAATCAATGAATGGATTGAAATTGGGTTGGGTTTGGGCATGTTATAACTAAAAAAAAAACCCACTTGTTTGGATTAGCCCAACCCAAGTTGCATCCCCAGTTTACCTTTCCTAATATTCATTGTCTTGTGTAAATCCGGACTTTCCCCTGAGAATAATAAAAAATAATTTTATCCAATACTATTTATTTTATTATGTATACGTTTTTTTAACTATATGTAAGTTTGGTTGCCAGACATGCAGAAAATGAGGCTAATATAAGATGCTTTATATTGCAATAATGCAGCTGAGCTTTTGGGTCTTGAGAACTCCATTCCACCAATTGCAACTACCAATGGCCAATACATTTTGAAAGGTCTGAATTATGCATCTGGAGGAGCAGCAATTCGACTGGAAACCGGCTGCCAATTGGTAACTAATTGAGTCACTATAAACGTCTCAACTTCTATGTAATATTAACCTGTATTTAAGTAAAATATAACATGAGAAATGTTATTCATACCATGTTTTTGTACCACATTTTCACACTATCTTAGGTGGCATTTGATGTGGACAACCACCTTATTTGAATTAATCAGATTTTTAAATTTAGTTCATTATTTAATAAACTAATAATTAAGAAAAACTAGTTAATTAAATGATGATTGTGGTATACGAGGAGTCTTTCTCCTTCATTTACTTGGGTTTTGCAAAATTTTCAAATCATGTGGCTGTCCACAGTCAGATGCCACCTAAGATGGTATAAAAATGTAGCATAAAAACATAGTATGAATAACATTACTCATATAACATATCATTTCTCTTTGCTTGCAAGCTTAGATCATCAGGTACTACATCACGGAGAAACAGTCTTGCCCATTGCTGCTATACTGAAAGCTCTTTCCAGTATTTAAACAAATGCTTATATTCAGTTGGAATGGGTAACAATGATTACATTAACAATTACTTAGGGAGTAGGATTCTCTCCCTTCTATTCCCATCTTCTTCCCTCTTCTCCTCTCACACTTTACTTTTTATCTTATTGTCTCTATAAAAATTCAATATAAGATGTTGACGTGACTTAACTGTAACCACTCAAATAGGAGGGGAGGGAAGGGGAGAGAGAATCCTCCTCCATTACTTGAAGCCTCAGTTTTACCCCACCAGTAGAATATTTACCCCTGAACAATATGCTCAAGTTCTTATTGAACAATATTCTCGCCAAATATTGGTAACAATTTTTTATCATAACTTCAATCTTTTTAATTTTTGACTTCAAATGTAATAGTTTGTTTAAAATTTGATTGTTTAATTTGCTCCATATTATTTCTGTATATACTTTGTATGCGAATGGAGCAAGGAAAGTGGCCTTGATTGGAGTTGGAGCTATAGGTTACAAATGCAGTTGCAGTCGTTTGGCACGAATGGTACCGCATGTGTTGATCGCATTAACCGTGCGGTCCAACTTTTTAACCAAAAGCTTGTATCTCTGGTCGATCAGCTCAACAAAACTCACCGATGCAAAATTTGTCTATGTCAACAGTTTTGGGATGGGTACTTCAGGGATTCCCAATAAAGCTGCTGGTAAATATATGCGATGCGACTACAATCTACGGGGAAATGATATCTCAAAACATCTTTTCTCCTTCTGCTATTCGGTTATTTATGTCTCTTTATTTGGTTTTGAGTTATTATGTTGAAATGTCGAAAATTAGATGTGTCGACGAATAAAAAAAAAAAAACATGCGAAAATCACTTCCCATAATCTTCTGATTTTGAAAGATAAAGCTGACATCGATTAATTAGTCATTTCTTTTATTCATGTCAGGATTCAAGGTTGTGAATGCTCCCTGCTACCCGGTGAATAAGTTCGGTCAATGTAATCCTGCCCAAGCTTCATGCCAGAATAGGAAGGAGTATGTATTTTGGGACGCGTTTCATCCAACTGAGGCCTTAAATCAAATCACTGCAAGAAGAACATACACTGAATTGGACGACTCGAACACTTATCCAATGGATGTCAGGCACCTTGTCCAAGCTCTATATGAGCGTGGAGGGGGTAGAATCCAAGCAAATATTTTATACGGAATTTAATCTTCCCCACTTATTCTGATAAGTTAATTGAAATCCCGAAGCAGTATATTTAGGATCAAATGTGGCTTTTTTCATGTTTGAAATTCTCTTTAATGGCGTAAATGTTTAAGAGGTGGCGCTTTTTATTCCTCGTGTTAGAAGAAGGTAATTTTTCATTTTCAGTGCTTATATAAAAATTGAAATAATTGACGGCTACTTCCTTCCCAAATTTTACAACATATTCCACAATATGGTTGGTCCGACTCTCCGACGGGGTTGACTTACATGAACAACAAATAATATTGCCTTGTGTTTCACAAAAACATTTACCTCGTGCTTTAAGCACTTCTCTTCTCACTCTTTTATAGGATGTCCCCGAAGGGACATCTCTTTCTCAATAGCTTGTATATATAAAAAAATTGCGGTCACCATTTCGTAAATAAAATTTCAATTATTTTTGTTTTTTTTTTTAACGAGCATAACATTGCCACTTAATACTATGGTCTAGTGGTATTTCTCTTTATTTGTAAGTGAAAGGTCTTAGGTTTGATTTTCGCTACATTGCCACTTAATACTATGGTCTAGTGGTATTCCTCTTTATTTGTAAGTGAAAGGTCTTAGGTTTGATTTTCGCCAAAAGCGAATTTGAATTATATTATTGTTAGTTCATTGTGAGGCTAAACTCAATCCCCTCCCCTTAGTTTATGTGGTTTCGATTCTAACTACTGCGACTTAAGATATTAACCGGCCATAATTAAGGTCACGAGTTTATTGTCTTTAATTAGTATAAATCTTTTTTGGATTTAATTTGTGTGATCAAGAGCATAACATGCTTACCCCCACGAACATCCCAATGGCTTTCATTCAACCAAAGACATTCCAACTTCGACCAAAAAAAAAAAAAAAAAAAAAAAAAACCAAAGACATTCAAAGTGTTAAAAAAAAACCCCAACCTTTCATATATATATATATATATATATATATATATATTCTGTTTTGATAATATATACCTCCCCTTTCTTTTACCTCTCTTTCCGGTGTTATATACGATTTTTAAATTCTAGCCTATTCTTTCACAATGTCGACAAATGAAACAGCAAAATGGATGTCGATGATGATTAATGTTGTTTTTGTGATTACAGTATCACAATCCTGCGTTCGTGGAGAACCAAAAGTACCTTGTTTCTTCATTTTTGGTGATTCATTGGCAGATAATGGCAATAATAACCGCCTCCGGACCCCGGCAAGAGCGAACTACGAGCCTTACGGGATTGATTTTCCACAGGGACCAACAGGGAGGTTTACCAATGGCCGAACAACTGTTGATTTTATAGGTCTGCACATTGTCTCTCTCATTCTAAATTTCATTCATGCACTCTAAATTCTTAACACACTATAGCCTTTTCTTTAAGTCTGATTTATTTTATCATGTAGTTTTGAGGTGCATTCGCTTCTTCTTCTTTTTTTTCCTGTTCTTTTTGTCAAGCATTCGCTTCTTTAACGGCCGGGAATAAAGCTAGTAAGTTGTAAACTCGGGACGTTCTCAGTAAGCGGAATCTTGATGAATATCCAAATTTACATGATGAGTGCTTTTTAGAAATAATTGCACGCATTTGATTAGGTTTAGTTTAGGAAGATGATTTATGCACACATTTTTTTTTTTAACACCCCTATTTATTTGTTATCCACAAAAGAAAACAAAATGCATACGCAATTTATAGCCGTGTGCGAGCACTATGCTTCACATTACAGCTGAACATAAAGGTGATTTTAAACTTCAATCTTTTACATTACAGCTGAATTTCTGGGTTTTGAAGATCCCATCCCTTGTTATGCAAATACTAAGGGGTTCAAGAACATGGTTAGAGGTCTGAATTATGCATCTGCCTCAGCAGGAGTTCGAGATGAAACTGGCTCCCATATGGTAATTAATTAGCGAATCGCGATTAGAAGATGACTTAATTACATATGTAAATTCAGTAGCAATATATCATAATACATAATTTCTCCTTGTAGGGAGAGAATGTCAATTTAAATAAGCAATTACTGAATCACAAATCCACAGTCAAGCGCATTACTTCAATAATGGGACTTAAACGATTGTCTAGGCAGCATTTACAAAAGTGCTTATATTCGGTTGGACTGGGTAGCAACGATTACCTTATGAATTACTTCCAGCCCAAGTTTTATCCCACCAGTAAGCGATACACTCCTGAACAATATGCTTCAGTTCTTATTAAACAATATTCTAAGCAAATGAAGGTTAGTAACTAATTAACATAATGCACTTGTGTTTAATTAATTTTCCATGTCTCTGAGACTCGAAACAACTGCATAAGAAAAGTTTGAGTGTTGACTTATTTCATTTATTGGTTTACTTAAGACTCTGTACAAGTATGGAGCCAGGAAGGTGGTCCTGAATGGAGTAGGACAGGTAGGCTGCACTCCATCTTCAATTTCAACTACAAATGGGTCTACATGTGCAGAAAATATGAACAATGCTGTTCAATTTTTTAACCAAAAGCTTAAGTCTCTCGTCGATCAGCTCAACACCGAACTGACTCATGCAAAATTCATCTATGTTGACATGTTTGGAATTTCCGGAAGTCCATCAGAGATTACAGCTGCAGGTTTTCAAACTCTCTTTGTGCTCTAATTTCTTTAATTACAATATTATTATTAACTGTTATATTGTGAGACTCACATGCATTAATTATATGAAAAGGAAGTCATAGGTGACAAGCTCATATATGCCAATTAAAATCCTAGCTTAGCCATATTTTCATAGATAGAACAAGCTAAAGTGTTATAATTTTTCTTTTTCATATTTTAGGAATCAAGGTGACGAAAGCTAACTGTTGTCCAGTAGATGAATTTGGCCAATGTGTTCGTTCCAAAGGTACATGCCAGAACAGAAGTGAGTATGCGTTCTGGGATTTATTTCATCCTACTGAAGCTTCCAATCTCATCATTGCAAGAAAGTCATACAATTCTTCTAACTTGTCGGACACTTATCCAGCGAATATTCAACACCTAGTTCAGCTTAGGCTATAAAAATGGGTACTCTTGAGAGTATTATTTACATTGAAAATAGTCTTCCCCATGTACATATATAAAGGTACAAATTAATCACCATGTGACATGTACAAGACCTAACTACGAAGAGTATACTATAATTGTATATATAATATATATGCAATTTTGCCAAGTTGGCATGAAATCAAGCTCTTAGTGTAATAGTCCAATTGTGACTCCAATTCAGTTCTACGAAGCTTTTTCTTTCATTGATTAAGCACTTCTATGAACTAGTTATTTGGTTAGCAGTATGTATTTCTTTTTTCTAATTAATGTTTAAAAGACGTTTAAATTTCAAGTCCCCCTCTCCGGTAAAGTTGAACTAAGCATTCCAAGTATTTTGTACTATATCCGCGGAAGAGATTGATGGAAGTATAAGATATAGGCTGATGGACCTGTTAATGTGGTATGTACCCTAACTCCCGTATGCCTTTGCCTTTACGCATGGCATCTCTTAGTCTCATTTTCTTTGGTTGCGAGAATAGTTGTGCATGAGAACACATCTTTTTGTCCTCAATCTTAGAAACATATCAGCCACAAGCACATCAAGTAAATTGCTTGCCAATGAATTGGTAACCCTTTGAAAATTTGATCAAATTAACAAAGTTTTCAAACATGTTGAGAACATTATAATGTTTAAAAAGATTGTATCTTATAGATGAACAAAGTCTAAGATGAGTACGAGCCCATTCAGGGTTTCATTATTTATACAGCAGCCTTACTTTGAAGTAGATTTGTAACAGCTAATATGATATTTGTCATATCATTTGGTGACTAAAAACTTGGATTTTTTTTTGGCTGTAGTATTAGATACCGGCAGGGATAGTAATTCTGTTACTTTTCATGGTGAGCGTTATTCTGGCAGGCTTCATTGTATTTGTGTGATCAACAGCACACATTCTTTGCCCCCACGACACATATTCATGCACTCAGGCTTGCTTCAACCAGTTATTCTGCATCCGAAATATTTAATAAAATAAAAATATAAGATACATCCATGTAAAAGCCGTTTGATAACCATTTCGATTTTCAATTTTTATTTTTTGAAAAAAAAAAAACAAAATAGTTATCAAATGACCCTTAACTTAATTTGAAATGTCCATTTAGTATTACGAGCTATTGATATTCATCTTCACTTGTAAATAAGAGGTCTTAGACTCTTAGGTTCGATTCTTGCTAAAAACGAATTCAAATCAAATTATTATTGTTTGATTGTTATAATCCACTTAAAACTCGCCGCGTGGTGAGTCTTAAATATTCTCTTTGATCATTCTTTTATATTTAAAATTTTTATAATTATTTTTTTAACTAATTAATATATTATATATATTAATGTTATGTTTCCTTTTTTATTTCTTGCCCCCTATTTTTTTTCTTCCCAAATCCCCCCCCCAACACTTTGTTTTGCCGTAGGTCATAGGACTCCCTCCCCTTTCTTTCTTTCCCAGTTTCATTTCTTTCTTTCTTTAAAAAAAAAAAAAAAAAAAAAAGTTATGCACCCACTCCAAGTTTATCATGGAAAGCAACCAAGAATCTGTAAGCTTTAGCGTCTGAATGCACCACCATTCCGATTTTCAAATCTTCTTGAAACTCCATTGCCTCAGCAGCAACCTATCAATTGAAAAAAAAAAAAAAATCAAAGCTTAGACTATTATATTAATTAAAGACTCATAATAAAGAAGGTAGCAATCATAGCAGATACCTTAATTCATATTATAAATATAAAAAATCCAAAAAACCTCACCCGAACCCAAAAGCCCCCAATTAAAAGAAAAGAAAATAACCCTAATACATCTATATATATATGTGTGGGTTATTCATGTCACATGATCAAACAACTATTGTATAAAGAAAGAAAAGAAACTTACAGATTCTTAGTTGCTTTCCATGATAAAATTGGAGTGGGTGTAGAACTTTTTTTTTTTTTTTTTTTTAAAAGAAAGAAAGAAACGAAACTGGGAAAGAAAGAAAGGGGAAAGAGTACTGAAACCTAAGATATACGGCAAAACAAAGTTGGCCGCCGGGGGGGGGGGTGTGTGTGGGGTGGATTTGGGAAGAAAAATTATAGGGGGAAAGAAATAAAAAAGGAAACATAACATTAATATAGATAATATATTAATTAGTTAAAAAAATAATTATAAAAATTTGAAATATAAAAGAATATATTTAAGACTTGCCACGTGGCGAGTTTTGAGTGGATTGTAGTGCCACTCAACGAAATCCAGTGGCAAGCCAAGCCCCACATAAGTTTTTCTCCACTCTCTCACTCCTTAGTGTCGATAATATTGTATGTATTAAAGAAAATGTTAATTTGAACAACAATTCCCCAATTATAAGTCTAATTTGAAGACAGTTCCTTCGAGTACGCTAATTTTCCCCTTAGGTGGCTTAGTACGCACCATTTCCAATCTTCCCTCTCTCTCTTTCTATATATATAATACCTCCATTTCTCTTTACACTACTGCCTTAATTTTTTTTTTTTCAGTGTTATATATACAATTGCAATTTCACTTTAGCTATATCATTTCATAATGGCAACAAATGAGGCAGTAAGATGGTTCATGATGATTGGTTTTCTGGTGGTTTCAATATCACAATCTTGTGCTTATGGAAAGCCGGAAGTACCTTGTTTTTTCATTTTTGGTGATTCATTGCTCGATAATGGCAACAATAACTTCCTCCCAACGTTGAGAGTGAACTACCTCCCCTACGGGATTGATTATCCCACCGGACCAACCGGAAGATTTTGCAATGGTCGAACTCCAGTTGACGTACTTGGTCTTGCCTCTCTCTCTCTCTCTCTCTCTCTCTCTCTCTCTAAATTTCTTATGCTATATTGTTAATATCATAATCTTACTCTATAAATTAAGAGCTATAGAAATCATAGAGAAATATAATTTGTAGTTGTGAAACTTGCTTACCGTAGTGTATTATTTACGATGGATAGAGAAGATGTCGTCAAAGAGTTCATATATTTACAGTTTGATGACAATACAAGTATCTTATGTTACCGGACAGTCTGACAAGTGAGGATTTGCATATATAAATCGTAATCAGTTTGTTTGCAAGGGTTTCAATGAAAGGAGGCCTAGCTAGCTATAATAAGAACATGATTGTTTACATTACAGCTGAACTTTTGGGCTTTGAGAATCATATCCCACCATTTGCAACTACTTTCGGCCTGGCCACACTTAGAGGCTTGAATTACGCATCTGGCACAGCAGGAATTCGAGCGGAAACGGGCTCTCAGTTGGTAATAACTAATTAATCACAACACAAAAATGATTTATACTAATTAGCAAAGATAATTAGTATATAAATTAATCTTATAATATATGATTAATTCTCCTTTGCAGGGTGTTAATGTCAACTTTGATCGGCAGATACAGAACCACAAATCTGCAGTCTTGCGCATTGCTTCCATACTGAGAAGTAAAGAATCAGCTATGAAGTATTTAAACAAGTGCTTATATTATGTGGGAATGGGTAACAATGATTACCTTAACAATTACTTACAACCGCGGTTTTTTAACACCAGTCGCATATATACCCTTGAACAATATGCTGCAGTTCTTGTTAGACAATATTCCAGCCAAATCATGGTTAGTAAGTAGTGACTAGTTTTCTAATTGATTAGGCCCTGTTTGGACTGCTTCTTTATGAAAGCACTTCTACTTATAATCATTTTTTCTAAAAGTGATTTTCTTACAAACATGTCGAAACTTCTATTAAAATCCAAGTTATTCTTGGAGCCGCACTAGGAAGTACTTATTCATGGAAAAACAGGAAAAAAAAAAAGCATTTCTTTGATGCGTAAACATTTTTAATTAAATTTTCCTATCAAATAATGTGGCCAAAAGCCGTTTAGATTGTAACAAAGTGTTTTAGGTATTTCAAAAGCAGTTAGTTCTCAAATACGCACATGTTGTCTTGAGAACTAAATATCAGTATTCTTTATGTTTTAGAATATTAATTATTCTGTGTTTTATGTTGCTTTTAATTAAAGACTTTGTACAAGTATGGAGCGAGGAAGTTTGCCTTGGTTGGAGTGCAAGATATAGCAAATGCGACCTATGCTTTTAACCGAAAGCTTGTATCTCTGGTAGAAAAGCTCAACGCCGATCTTGGAGATGCAAAGTTCATCTATGTCAACTCTTCCTCAGTGACACGTTCAACTTCTGCTGGTATATAGTTATACATTTGGGATATATCACTCTCTTCATCTGCAATTTCTTTCATTACAATACTTGTTTTACATGCCATAATTCCGTTATATGTGACATTCCACTAGTAACATGTAAGCGAGATCCAAAGTGTGTATATGTTGTGAAAAGAGCCATACAATGACCTGCGGTTTCACACAAATTAAAATACCTAGCGTGTATATTTAACTTCTGAATTGGTGACATTGATTAATTTGTTATGTTGATTTCAGGATTCAAGGATTTTGACACTAGCTGCTGTCCGGTCAATCGAATAGGCCTATGTGCTATTTTCCAAATTCCATGCCAGAATAGGAGTGAGTATGCATTATGGGACTCATTCCATCCCACTGAGGCCTCCAACATAGTCTCTGCAAGAAGAACATACAATTCCTCCGACCCGTCGGACACTTATCCGATGGATATCAGTCACCTGGTTAACCTCAGCCTATAATCCTGACTAATTATCACACAATTTAGCAAGCATATATAAACAGATGATTAATGAATAATCTACAATGTAGCTTTGGATATTTATATATCAGTCATATATAATAGATATTCAAACCAACATCATGAAGATTCAATCACATGAAAGTTGGAAGAACTTGTTAGGGTAATGTCTCACAGAAGTCTTAGTAGTACACGTTGCAGGAGGCATAAATATAAAAATGCAGACAAGAAATCCCCTTCCATCAACTAATATACGTACGTATACCTACGTACTTGGTAACGGTCTTCATTCCCCAAGCAATCTGGACCAATCATCTGGTGTCATTATACACACCCACCATAGAAAACTAAATCAGCAGAAGCGATAGAGTCCAAGCATATATATTAACTGCACACGAATAAACGATGATCAAAACAATGTAAATATTGCTGGTAGTTTGTGATAATGTGTTAGATAATTTGGGATTTTTATGAACTTACACTAATTGAAGAGAAATCTGATCGTGGCGGGGATTGTACTGATGATTGGGTTGTAACGCGTTCACTTGGAAATAGTTCCGAGAGTCGTATGGCTGAGACTGCAGGATGTCATAGCTTGAAGGTCCTCCTCCAGCCATCACATTTATGTTCTGCTGACCCCTCTCATTCTCAGCTTATCTATATATCCAATTTATAATTCCTAGTGAATACTAGCTAAATACGTACTGCATACTCACATAAACAGAAAGACTATGCGCGCGAGCACACAAAAAAACACATATTTTTTTAAAGAAAAAGAGAGAGAACTCGCCTTTGCTCGTAGGAGCTGGTTATTGCTGTGCAAGTCCAGTTCCTGCAAGAAAATTTTGACAAAAATGAAAGCGAAAAAATATCAGTTTGATGAGTAGAACACTCATATTGTTATACGATGATTTCAAAAGTGCGAGCATACAACTTGTTGCGATAATTCACCATTCGCACTCCTACCTTTTGTTTTTTGTATCGTTTCACTTTAATTAGTTTACTCAATTACCGAAGCACAAAAATAAGAGAGAGGATTCCAAAGTAGATATATAACATATTTATATGTGTGTGTGTGTGTGTGTATAAGATGTGAAATTCATCACTTAATATTAATGTTTGGTACATGTAAGGTACTGTTAGTCAGCATAGAAGCTACGTGAATAAGAACAAATGGCGATGGGCGTGTTTTAAAAGTTGAAAGAAAACTTAAACCTAACCAAAAATTTGAAGTGTAAATCAATTTTCACCATTTGAAAGGTATTAGTTTCAAATCATCAAAAGTACGATGATTTATAACAATGACTTTGAAAAAAGTTGAGGTTCCACCATAAAACCAATTGGCAATATAGGGAGTAGCCCAACCTCTTATAAGTCCATGCAAAGTCCCTCCTCTCATCAATGTGAGACTCATTCTCAACACGTCCCCTCACATGTGGCGAATTTTCAAGCCTAACACGTGGACAACACAACGGGATGACATGGAGCGCGTGTGACCAGTTTGGCTTCACACGTAGGACAACCTGCTCTGATATCATAAAGAAAGTTGAAGTTCCACCATAAAGCCAATTGGTTTTAAGGTGGAACCCCAATTTCATCACATATTATCATGTTTTCTACCATGCATGTACTAATTAAGTTGATCAAGACAATTTAATGCCGCCAAGCTTTCCAAATACAGATGAACCACATTTATAATATGTTCAGAAATAAAGCATAAGTAATCTCGTAAAATGAGCAAGCTAAGTTTGAAGAGGTGTACCCTTTTCTGCATGTACTCAATTTCGGCAAACAAGAGCTCATTCTGAAAAGAGTTCAAGATTTGAAAGAAAGAAGAGAAAAACGTGTTAATGGCTATGCAAAAGCTAGAAATATGACCACAACGGACAGTTCAAATTGTGAAAATCGTCACAAATGATCAATAGCTTCATTAGACACCTTTTTGGATCGGATTCTGCTAATTCCTTTCTCTAGTTTACTCTCCAGGCTCTTCAGGTCCTTGATAGGCATACTACTCAATGCATCACCCATCATATTCCTAGAAACAACATTCATTGTCAGTTAAAAGGCTGCCAATTCAGAATATAGGATCTGGGAAAGCTTGTGGTAGCTAGGGTTAGATGTCTTTAAGAATATTACCGGTTGGCATTCTGTAAATTCCCGATCTGCGCACGCAATTTCGCAGCTTCTTGCTGGTAGTACTGAAATTTACATCAATAAAGCAATAGGTTAAAACTTTTGAACATTAAAGACTATGATCAAAATTCATAGAAAAACTGCTTTAACAGGACGCATGCCTTAAGAAATCACAGATACACCTTCACATGTTTGCTGCTTAATTAGGGTTTATATGTTATTACATACATATGTGTATAAATGTAATACACACACTCACGCACACACTCACACAACCAATTAGTATAATTACGGGTCCATGTAACTATTCATGAATTAAAAGTTCTTTGTATCAAATGTGCAGAGTTTGAAATCACTCCTTGAAGGCAATTATATTAATCAAGATAATAGGTTAACTACTTACCAAGGCATATTCTTGTAAAAGCTTTTGCTTTACAGGTATCTTTGGTTGCAATGTGAATGAACAGAAAATTGAAATGGATCTTAAACGCTCACCCATATTCCAGGATTTATATATATGGGAAATAATTGATTGATTAAATAATACAAGCTAAAGTGCAAGAGGCTTGTAGCTTAAGCGATGAGGAATATTTACTCTCCCCTCCCACAATATCGCGTGTATAAATTAAATTATAAAGTAATATAGCCTAAGGTTTGATAATGACATCCAAAAGGGAAAACAAGACTTGTCTTAGTCATGGATTATTGGCTTTGTTCAACAATCAAGACCTACATAACTAGTCTTGAAGTCAAATGTCTGAGTAGTTCAAGACTTCAAATTTCATGGTCCCCCAGATGATATCAAATAAATATGATAATGAAATCCCAGAAAGAATTGAATCTAACTTTTAGAATCAAACTCCAAAGTTACGAACTTTTCTGTCAAATAATATCTACATTCAGGGTAAGTCAGTGTACCTGAGTACTAGCTTCAGAAACTAATCCAGTATTTGAAGAATCTGCACATGCCTTCCTGTACCTTTCAACTGTTTCTTTAACACTGCATGGTATGCACTCATAGTATTAATATACGAATCTATATATGTAGGGACCATTGAAATCTAAGGAGGATCTAACATACGACTAAAATGATTAATGGATAACACTTCTAGCTCCAGAAAAGAATCTCGTGCATTGATAACCCATATGAGACATTCTTGTTTGGTTACTATGATTGGATTAGATTGGATTGTACAACTCATAAATGCAAGTATGTTGAAAGTAGAAGTGATCATTGTCATTTTTAAGGATATTAGACCTAAAGGAATTTATCTCTTTTATCCTACCATTTTGAGGAGATTGAAAGGAATAAGTTTGTTTCAAGAGTAATCCACATTCTTCCTTAAACTTGGACAAATCTTCATTTTTTCCTTGAACATACCATAAATATGGTGAGCTATCGAATCCAATCTAATCCTAAACACCAAATAAACCCTTAGTCCAACCAATATGCTTTGGAACTAGTACTCAAAAGGAAAAACACCAATATAATTAAGAACAATACTTGGCTACTCAAAGGTGAGTAGGAACTCATACTCAAAATTTCTCAAAATTGTTCGTTGACAATTTATAGAACTTCGTGTTCATAATCAGAACCGTTCATATTATAAATCACCCTATAAAGATCACCTTTGGCAAAAATCAATTAAAATTAAGGCCGTTTAATCATCAAACTGTTTAAAAACAAATGAATGATATTTGTAAAAGCATTACGAACCTCTATGTATTTGCTACAATATACTAAACAACCTTAGTTTTAATTTATTTTTTCCAGAGATGATCTTTACAGTGTGAGTTATAGTATGAACAGTTCTGATCATAAGCACAAAACTCTATGATTAAAATACTAAGAGTTTTGAGTATGAGTTCCTACTCATCTTTGAGTAGCCAAGTATTATTCTATAATTAATGCTTGTACACTAAATTCTCAAATTTATAAGAAAGCTGTACATTTATATACTATAGCATTGCTTATGCATTAGACTTTTTAATAATGCTAAGAATGTATAATCTGAAACATTGTTATAGTTTGAACATAATATGAAAGGCATACCATGAGGGAAGCTACCTAGCAAAAGATTGGTTCTATATCTGGCTTATTTGATCAAACTTTCCACATAAGGGTTTTTGAAATAAGTTCCTATAAACATTTTCTACCTAAATAAAAAAACTGCGAAACTAAAGATATTTTTCTTAAAGCATCTGGGGAGATAAGATGGTAAACCTCAAGAACATGGTGTGGAGTCGAAGCCTCAACTTCCTACGCTGTATTTGAGTGAGGGATTTCCAAGTATCAAAGGATTGAGGCCAAGTTACTAAGGAATTGATCATAAAATGTGAGATAGAGGGATTGGAAATGTAGGTGTGTGAGAGAGATTTGTAAATGTCTCTTTCCAAGTAGTGAATTGCAAACCCTCTTACATGCCTATGAAATGCGCATCGAGGGCTTTTCTAATTCCCTTCGCCTAGCATTTTGTAGTCTATATGTTACTAGCTTGCCTTTAATTAATCCTTTGAGACTTAGAAGATCCTCAACCAAATATAGTTGGATAGCCTTAGTCTAGTGATACTTTTCTTTCCAAGGCTTAAGTTTGAATCCCCTTCTATTTTGACAAAAGAAAACAAAAGGTGTGGAAACTTAAGATCTTACCATTTTTTGTTGCCTTAAGTAGTAACTTGCTTGAAGTAATGGAAAGCTTTACAATATTTTCTTTTTTCAAATTAAAAGTTTTTCTCTTTACCCCTCTGAATACTAATTAAAATTGATTTTAATATTTTTCTCAACTAATTAACTGGGAAAAATATAAAGAAGAAACTTGCTGTCTTTTTCTGATCCAAAGTAATGCATTATGCATTTTATACATGTAGGGTTCCAGTCTCAGTTTAACTTATTACCTAAATAGATCTAACTACTATTAGGCTCTCTTGTCATCTCCTCACAAATAGTTTCTAAAACAATGAGTACAAAAATTAGTTGATTTTAATTAACTAGATATAAGCACTTTGGTTAATTAGATATAAAACTGCTGATGTTCATGTCAATTTACAGAAGAAAGCAACATGTAAAGGGGGTTCCCAACCACAGCCAAATTTCTAGTGTTGGGAAGAGGGAGAAAGAGAGAAAAGAGGAACTGATTGATTGAAATATAAATGGTAATTGAAGTTGTTTCCACAAAATGCATGCTTATCCTCAGCAGAATTTCTGAGTCAGATTTCTGTCTGTGCTATAAATTGAATTTCTTTCCCCAAGCTCTAGCCTTCTGCCTAGTTTTATTCATATCCTTAGGCACACATGCTGTCACATAACATTAAGGACTAATTCTACTGACTTAATCTGAGATTTTATGTTTAAATTTATAAATTATAACGGTCAATGAACAAACTCTTTCAGTTAACTGAGCCTAATTAATAAGCAAATCTCAGTTCCTTGACACCAGAAAACTCGGTTCTCTGAGTTAGACCGGCTGGCCTAATACAATCAGTCTCTCAACTGACGGATGTGATACAAAACCATCTATCAATATCATAATTATACAATTAAATTAAAAAAAAAAGATCATTAATTTAATAAAAAAAAAAACAAAACCTCACGCTTTACTATGCATACTGATTCCTTAAAATCGTCGAGCTTGTGATTGGTTCACTGTGCCACGGTGGCACAGCTCCCCAATATGATTGGTTCAACTAGATACGAGGCCATAGCTCTCATTACACAAGGGATATTTTCCTGGAGTTCACCTTTTAACCCACCTCGAGTAAAACACAAACAGTTTAATGAATTTTGTATGTTTTATAAAGATTTGATATTTTTTTTATTTTCTGTCTAAAAGACTGAAACTCTGATGAGAACATCAAAGCCGTCTGTTTCCAGCAGCAGAGAAGGCAGACATATAAGCCAAACGAAACGCTCAGAACTCTCCCATTGGCTCGCAGTTGTCGTACGTTGTCTTCTGTTTCACTTGTATCTCTCACACTTAAAACTTGCATAAATATATCTACGCAAGATCTCTGCAAATGCAAATGCCATTCTATGATGCCATAATTTTGATGACCCAGTTGAGCTATGATCTTACTCTCTCTCTCTCTCTCTCTCTCTCTCTAATAATTTGGAAAAATAAATTATAAAAGAATATTGATTTATGAGATCCAATCCAAGTAGAAAAAAATTGACCAGAAAGGTTAAAATTTTAGGGTTGAAGAACTGGGAAAAGGGGAAGAGAAGCCAGTGTAGGAATCATGACATAAACACCTTTTGTCAGAAGTCAAGAACCGAAAATCTTGTGTGACGTGACCAAAGATTCTATCAACCAAAGACAAAAGAGCAAAAAAAAGAAACAAAAAAACCAGAACCTAACCCTAACTAGACCGCATCCCGTTTCCAAAAAATGTCAAATTTAAGAAAAGATGACATTTTGACACTTGGGCTGTGGAAAATATGTCTCCTTTACTCGATTTAAGGGTTACCCACCACAAATCTTTGGACAAATTGAATACCCAAAGTGGTTTCTTATGAACCCTAATTTGGGGAATGAGGGTTTTAATTTTCTGAGGGAAATTTCACGTGGTGAAACTGAGATTTGGAGAATTTTAGCTTCTTGGTTTTGGAGGTTGTAGCCAGGTTTGGATCTACAGGGAAGTTTGTTTCATATTTCAAGCAAAACACATTTGGGTGCCTTGGAACCCTAATTTGTGCTAATTTTGCAGAGGTCCTGTCAATACATTATTTAATTATTTTTTCATTAAATTTGTACTTTAACTTTCCTGATTTCTATAGCTGACTTGGTATTAAGGAAGTGTCAAAGAGATGGGGGGCTTGGCTAATGGGGGCATGTCAGCTTGTGTGTTGTAGGCCTGCTTAGCTGCATAAGATGACATACAGTCATGCAGCGTATGAGAGAGAGGGAGAGAGAGAGAGAGAGAGAGAGAGAGAGAGAGAGAGAGAGAGAATATGGAAGAACTCAGAAAGAGAAAGGGAAACAGAAAATTAACAACAATGGAGGGAGGGTAAGGAGCTGATCTCAGAAGCCTGCATACATTCCCAAAAATCAATACTTGTTGCTATATACATCCTAATGATAATATATACATAAAGGAAAGAAAATGATCACCAGATCTATGTTTCCACCAAACCAAGAGCTAAGAAATGATCACAAACAGAAAAGAAAAATTAAATTAAAAAATACCCAACATTAGTAAGCACATACATGGAAAAAAACAAAACAGAAGAAAGAAAGACAAGTGAATCTTATAAGTTATATAGAGAGATGAAAGAGAGAGAAAGAGAGAGAAGGAGAGGAGAGAGAGAGAGAGAGAGAGAGAACTCAATCTCAAATCAACTGACTACCATAACAATGATAATGTTTTTCCTGATTAAATCCAGCAAAAGATCTATTACACAGAAGCAAAAATCTTGAGGACTGAAGCACCAATAACTTCTTGAAATGCTAAATTGTGACAAAAATTTGCACAGAAGAAGAAAGAAAAAGAAAAGAACTTTAACAAGAACAAAGAAATCTTACTAAAAGGTAAATTGAAAATAAAACTTGGGTCTGAAAAAAATCCTAAAAGCCTTCCATTAGAAAAATTAAAAGAATAAGAAGAGAAAATTAAGAAAGAAAATTGAAGCAATAATATTATTACCTGTTGTTGGCATACTCATAGAGGCGGCCACGGTTAGAGAAGACTATGAGAGCAACCTCTGCATCACAGAGCACAGAGAGTTCATAGGCCTTCTTGAGCAACCCATTGCGCCTCTTGCAGAAGGTCACTTGACGATTGGTCGTGTTTTCGATCCGCTTGATCTCGATCTTTCCCCTACCCAATTTTCTCTGGGGAGAGTCGATTGACAAGGATTTGTTTTCATTGGCCATGGTTGCAAGCTGAATCAATAAGAACAAAGAGATCTATCAATTAAGCACCTTTTTAAATAAAACAAAAACCCCAGAACTTTAATTACTATATTCTTGATCACCAACAAAAAGTTTGAAATTATCTTGCAGAAACAAATGAAAATTGAAAACTTGGTGCAATTCAACTACAACAACTAGGTAGCTTAAAAAATAATTGAGTAGCTAATTAAGCTAGCAATCCCAAGTAAGTTCAAGAAATTGTGAGCTGAACAGATTTGATGGAACTAAAGTTTGAATTTTCATATTTGTTTTGGATGATCTTGGGGAAAAAGATTTATGGGGCTAAAAGAAGTGAGGCAAATGAACAAAATTTAGGAGATAGTGTTTGAGTATTTTGATCAATGAAGCATGGCAAGAACACACAAAGAAAAGATCATAAAATGATGATAATTAAGGACAGAAACAGAGGTTTCTTTCTTTCTACCTTTCGGGATTTTTCTCAGGTCTTTTTCTATCTTTCTTTCTCCACAAATCCAAACGAGGAGATAAGCAGAAAATGGAAGTGAGGTGGGATGAGGGGTGTGTATTTATAAGGGAAAAAACGACATTTCCACAATTATTCTAATTTCCAAATTAATTACTTCAAATTTTTAGTTATTTTCTAAATTAATTACTTTCAATCTTTAATCTGCAAACTTTATATTTTCACTAGCTAAGCGCATGAGGTTTTTATGTATTGGAGATGAAGCAAAAGAGAAAACATGGGAAATGGGGATCACTCATTTGATTCAGACTCCATCAACCATTCATTTTATTTATTGTTCATTACTTATTTATTTAATTATCAAATATATTTTTCTTGCCTGTGAAACATGAAAGGTAATAGGGGAGAAAGAGAAAGGAAAGGTACTTTCTGAAAGCGATTACTAATGGTGTGAACGTGACGTTTGGCTAAGCGCGCGGCTAGCTAGCTAGCACACCTCCTTAGGTTAAACGACGACCACATCAAAACTTTATTTCATTAAGCGAGATCGACTGTGTGAATTCAAGAACGGCACTGCGTTTATTTTGTGTCAAATATTCTGTGAACTTCAAGTACTTTTGTGTCTTTTCTTAGAGTCTTCTTACAAGTCTTCCTGAGTCTTCATCTACTCCTTTTACCCTGAGTCTCTATCTCATAATCGCATTTTCTAACCGGAGCATCTGTAGGTCTTCGGTTTATGTATCCAAATCACCTTAACCGATTTTCTCTCATCTTACCTTAAATATCTTCGTTCTTAATCTTGTTCTTTCTTGTGTCCTCACATATTTAACGGAGCATTCTCATCTCCGTGACACTCATTTTTTTTCATGTGTTGATGCTTGACCACCCAACTTTCCATGCCGTAAAGTATTGATGACCTTATTGTTGTCCTATAAAATTTTATCTTCAATTTTAGTGACTTACGACGGTCGCACAACACACCGGATGCACTCTTCCACTCCATCCATCCAACTTGTATTCTATGGTTGAGATCTACATCCAATTCTATGTTCTTTTGCAAGGTAGATCCAAGATAGCGAAAGTGTTTGCTCCTTAATACGTCATGATCTCCAATCCTCACCCCTTATCATTTGAACCCATGTTCCTATTAAACTTGCACTTCATATACTTTGTCTTTAACCTACTTGGGTGAAGACTTTTAGATTCCAACACTTCTCACTAAAGGTTAAGCTTCACATTTAATCTCTCCTGAATTTCATTTATTAACACTATATTGTTTGCAAAAAACATACTCAAATGGATACTTCTTGACTATGTCACGTTAACTCATCCATTACTAATGCAAAAACGTAAGGACTTAAAACTAAGCCTTGATGTGACCCTACAGTTATGAGAAAGCTTTTAGTTTGTCTTTCGTGAGTTCTTATTGTAGTCCTTGCTCCATCATACATATTGTTTATTGCTTGGATATATACTACTTATACACCTTTAGGTTAAAATATTTATAAAATAATATCCATGTAAAAAATAGATGAACAAAAACTTAAGGGAGTTTTTCATCGATTATTTGTGTATCTTATTACAAAGGAGGAGAGTACTGAAGGTTCAATTTACTAAACAATTCACCACCTGCTTTTTTGTGTACTTCTACTTTCAGAATATTTTATTTATATGTTTCTCTAAATTTTTTATTTATTTTAGTGAAATTAATTTTTTTTAAAAGTAGGTGACTCAGACCTCATTTAATTTTTGTTTCTAATCTATTTGAATTTAGTTTCTTAATTTGGAATGCGTAAGATATGGCTTTTCTATCCCCTACCTAGGTCAAGAGGTTTAGGAAATAGAAAAAGTAGTCGGTCTTGGTGGAATGAGAAAACACATATACAAGTGCGTGCGTGTGTATCCCAATTTCCCACAAATATGAAACATGATGTCAATTTATTTCCTAAGAAAATATTGCATAGAAGTATATCACTTTGTCCGCCATATGTCCAGCCATGCATATATGCAGCTCTTTAATATGCTGAATTATAATACAGCAAGGAGTTCTTGGCGTTGTAGAGAAGAGACCAATACTTTGTTGTTGCGATGGCCTGGCCATGGCTAGCTTGTATTTGATATTTGCCATAACTAATCCAATTTCTCATTAAATCGAAAACGAAAACGTTGAGCCGTCGATGACCATTGGGTGTAGTGATACTCAATCTCAATTTTGATGAAAACTACTTTCAGCCCAAATCTCATGAAAAACAATTGTTAAATTAAGAAAAGAGAAAATTTTAGCGGGGACTTATCTTGATATTTGGACATTGTTTGATTTTTCCGTCCAAACTTTCAATATAGTTTGAGCTCTTTTAAACTTTCAATTCGTATTAATATACCTGGAAAAAGAAAAGTTTTGATAATTCAAGTGTGAGAAATTTTACAAGCTTGCAGATCGGAAGCAAATTCAAAGGCATCCCCCATACTAAATGGACAAAAACCAATCCTCAATTTGAAGGAACAATGGCAGAACAAACAGCGAGGAGAATATTGACATGAAACTAAATTTAAAATTTATAGGGCAAAGTGAAACAAGACGTATAATTGGGTGACGTTTCTAATTTTTTTTTTTTTTTCAAAAATAAATTCCAATTTCTGACTTTTAACAGCATGTCCATTCGATCTGATTTGACCTAGGAAGAGAGGTAGCGCCCACCTGTGTACGTAGTACTCCTGGTTGATCATATATTTGTTTGTTATACGTACCATTTCACTCGTGGTTTGTAGAAGACATGTCACTTTTCCTTACCCACCTAATTGCAAACACAGGGATGATAACAAGTTTGCGAGGAGATGTGTAATGTTGGCCATGCTCGATCGACATTGGAAAAACATATATCATCCATCTTTCTCTTGTTTTTACCACATACATATAATTCGACCTACTGTATATACACTACCCATTTAATCATCGTAGGTGCTTTTACATAGAGTAGTACATTTGGCCACCATCCATTGTTGAGAGTATTATCCCGCATCAAAAGATCTTGAGCATTTTCATTCATTATCAATTAATTTTACGGTGGATGCTAATAATTTTAATATGATACCAAAGTAAGTTGGAAAAGAATGTTGAAAGCATGAAAAAGAATGTATTTAACATCTATTTTATAATAAGATGGATTGCATGTTTGGTATGTACATGCATGTAACGAATGTCCTGAGTTCATCTTAACATGTTTACTGATTTAGAATGGAGAAAGTCATGAATCAAATAAGGGAAAGAATGAATGAGTTGCCCCGTAGTTGCTATGATTTATGATTTGTCAATAATTGGATTACAATTTTACTGTAACCGCAACATATTTCAAAAATTCAAATGTGTGTTGATACATGAAAAGTCACGAAACAGAATAATTCAAGGGGAAAGATAAACACATCATTTTTAGCCTTTTATACACTCATGTTTGATCACGACCGTTGATTTTGTTTGACTTATTCAATTTAGTATGGTGAAAAAAAAAAAAAGAGTGTGAGAGAAGCTAAAAAGGGATGTGAGTAAATTGTGAGGATGTGAAGGTTAAACCGTAAAAGAATTCCATATTGGTGAACGAAAAAACTTTGCAAGGGCTTATAAGAGGTTGGGCCACTCCCCAAATTATCAATTGATTTTACAGTGTAACCTTAACTTTCTTCATGGTATCAGAGCAAGTTTGCCTATGTGTGAAGCCTAACACCCACACATGCTTCACGCCACCCAATTCTTGTTGTCAATGTGTTTGGCTTGAAAATGTGTTAGCATGAATTTTAGCGAACTAATATCCAAGATCAAAATATATTTAGGGTTTACTTGATCCCATTCCAAGTAAAAACACATGCGCGCCAAGATGAATTTTAGCCAACTAATTAGGGTTTAACCAAGATTAATAAAACATCCCAATGTTTTCCTTGGTACTAACTTTATTGACTTAATTAATTAACCTCATGTTGTAACAGGAAAGTTCTATTCAAAATGTATGAGTCTTTATACATAGAGAATTGGTACCACCGTTGTCTTCTCTAGCTATGAGGTTATGACACATACTCTATTCCTAGCGTTGTCTTGAATATTGTCGATTTCCTCATCTCTCGTTTCTTGTTGTTCATGTGATCATCAATGCACCTTCATCTAAGCTTCCACTGCCCATAAATTTCTTTCACCATATGAGTCCATACATATATAACACATCACTGACGCTAGATCCTAGATGCCACACAACAGTATATGTATATATGTGTATTATTCAATGCAAATATATACTCTCATTGTCTCTTGTACATATGTTACTAGTGACGGATCCAAAAAAATTTATTGGGGGTCAGTAAGAATAGTGCACGAAGCGCACAAAATTTTTTAGTTGGTATAGCATGAAAATTGGCATTTTATCGAGCTTTAGAGGTCCGAGGTCATTTACCAAGTCATATTGCACACTTGTTGATAGATGCCAATAGCTTTCGAACGAGCATGTCGACTGATATCAATAACTTTTGAGCAAGCATGACTACAGATGCCAACGTATGCCTATTGGCCTATCGAAAGATGTTCATGGAAAAGCATACAAATGCATGAGGCTAGCAACTACTTTGCCCAATGCCCATAGAGGCAATTTGTCGAACAATTGGACAACAGCTTTCAACGAAATCTCAAATTTTCAAAGAATAGCACTCTTCTATGAAGAATTTCTGAGTTTAGGGAGTCAGCTAACCCACCTTAACCCAAGGTGGATCCGCCTCTGTATGTTTCTGTGGTGACTCCATAAATATTGTATGATCAATCTTTAGTGAAACATCACCCTCAATCATTTGCCATGATTTGATTATTATCTTCTTCTTTTTTTTTCCTCTGTGAATATATGTGTGCATAAGCTTTCTCAAAACGTTCCAATACACCTCTTTATCGCATTGCATCATGTCTGAGTTTCTTAGTTCTAAAATAGGAAGGCCATGGTAATTCTCCATGTTCTCACAGGTCCTAAGTACTCTTTATGGTTCACAACAAGAAAATATCCCCCATATCAAGAAGAGGACCACATTGAGAGCAACTTAATATATCATAAAACCCTACTACTCATACATATCCATCCACATACATGGTAAATGTTAAATAGTGTTATCGGTCGCTAGACTCGACTCTCTGGTGTGATTTCGACTCCTATGAATTTCTTTATCGGTACGTTGGATGCGATTGAATTCCCAACCTGTCGTAGAGTGAACGGTACAGTCGAAAACAAATGGAAAAAAACCTAAGAGACTTTTGGTAAAAATGGTACTATGTACAGCCCTTTGTTGACATTGTCCTGAGAAAAGGAACCCTAGCTATGAACATCTTGTAATGTGATTCAACAGAAAGGAAAATTAAAGTGAATTTGGTTTTGTTCAATTGCCCAATTTAGTTGATAGGACTCCAGGGAATTTCCTAGCGGTTCAAATTGATCTTACCATTCATTGTATATATACTAGTAATGTTTTCACGAAATGTTCAACCCTTTGTAAAACCAGAAACGAGAAAGCTTTGAATTGTTTAGCTAAGAAGGGAAAAGAAAGTAGTTTAGTTTATAGATGATAACCTCTACAATACCACTTTAGGTGTAAGTTTTGCTTAACATATATGTGTGTGTGTGTGTGTAATGAGGGCAAGTTTGTGGCACCATTTTTTACACAACTTTTGATACACATTTTTGCAGGGCCCACTACACAATGTATTTTTAACGATCTTAACAGTCTTTCTTTTAGAACATTATTCATAGATTGTCACATCATTCATAGATCATACTGCAAAAAATTAGACAAATCCAAAATCATTAAGACATCCATTAATTTGTAGTGAAGAAAATGGACCAGTTATACAAAGAAACTCTAAACCCTTAATCCAACGGTCTTGTCAGATTTGAGTGATTTTTGGTATATATACATGATCTTTGGGGGAAGACTTAAAAGATAGATTGTTCGAATTGTTGAAATATTACGAAGTTGGTCCACCAACAACATGTGTCAAAAGTTATGTAAAAAGAATGATGTCACGGATCTATCCATATATGTAATAACGTTATAATTAAGTTAATTATTGATAAGTAAATCCAGGTCCAAGTCCAAGTCTAATGAAACTAATTATATTATCTCCAAAGGCAAAGGGACCACAAAAGCAACAACACATTTCTTTCAAATGATGTTGAGAGGTTCATGTCTTCAATGCAAGACCTAATACCATAAATGCATCATGGACATAATTTCATAGTCCATTGCAGTTCACCATCTTTTTCACTTCTTTGAAGGGTTCTTCTATTTTTTTTATTCATGGTTTTTATTAATTTATGAACTAACTACTAGTAATTATAAGTTTCTTAAAAATCTTATGAGGTAATTAAGGGTCTTGTACAAGATGATGATATGTAACTCAGGTGATCAATATCATCCAGTTGCACAAAGGTCCTGCGTTTAGTGCCCCCTCCCCCAATATCTCATGTTTAGAAAAGTAAAAATAAGCACCTCATGTCCTCATCTTAAAGTTGAAGAACCCTAGCCACTTAAACTACAGTCTTGTAGTATTTTTCTTTACGTGTAAGTAAGAGGTTTTAAATTCGAATCTAGTGAATGATGAGTTCGAATTCAAATTTCCTCCCAACCCTTAATGTGGTTATTAACAAAGAAAAGGACATCGACATATAAAAATTAAACATTTGTCCAATGAATATCCACCTAAAACGGTTGCCTTGGATAACTTTAAGTGATACACTTATAGTAACCAATGGGTCGTTCTTTCAATAGCTTACTAAATTTAGCTAAACGGTCTGCCGAAGTCTAAGCCTTGTTACATGGCAGCTAGCAATGATATATGTACAATGTATTATGAACTATAGACCTTATCATTGATCTTTTTATGCTTGCTAGTGTTGCAAGGCTTGTATACACATTAAGTTATTAAATTCAATTATAGATGTTCTACAAAACTACCTCATTAGAGGTTGGGTTAATTGTAGTAATGGTTCTAGAACTTTACTTCTAGTTTAATTTTCGCCCCTGAATTCTCATATCAGTTTCTTTAGTCCTTAAACTTAACAATGTATTGCACCATTGGTCATTTTCACTAACACCATCTTTTTCTTTTTTTTGTTTGTTAAATCTAGGGATGTATTAGGAACTTCAACATAAAACTTCAATAAATAATAAAGAAGCTAAAAAAAGAATAAAAATTTATAAATTAATATCTAAAACTTAAAATAAAATGAAAATTGAACTATCAAAGTACAAAATGAAAATGGTTGAAACTATGAAAAAAATTTCTCTATATTCAATTTTCTTACACAAAAAAAAAAAAAAAAAAAAATCCTCTCATTTCTCACTTTTAAATTTATTTGTAGTAATGTGGAATAAAGTTCCTAATATACTCCTACATTAACGGAAAAATAGACAGTGTTAGTGAAAATGACCAATGGTACAATACATTGTTAAGTTTGATGACTAAAAAAGCTAATATGAGAGTTCAAAGATTAAAATTAAATTAAAGTAAAGTTCAGCGGCCATTGTTACAATTAAGCCTTAGAGGTTATCTCTCATATGTTAGGGATTTGATTTTAGCTTGGCTGCGATCACTGCCTCCATGGCGGTGTTTACCCCGTCATCGACAACGGTGGCAACTCAAGACAACAAGTAAGTTCTTGATCTTATTGTTGTGATCGGAGGAATACTTTATATATTTGTCTAAATATTGTTAATGTATCATCTCTTGTATTTGTATTATCGTTGTGGCTAGTGGCCCTTTGATGCCAAATTATGAATGCAATTACCTTTTGATGAAAAAACCCTTTAATTTGTTTTTGTAAGTCGTTACTATAATCCTTAACTTGTAACTGTCATCACTCACCACCATAATTTTTTCGACGTCATATTCAGTTTGATTAAACATTTCATGACATGGAAAAGGTTTGAACTTTGAACATTATTTTGACCGTTAAAAAGAGAAATACCGCTTGCTATCTAGCAAAGAATTAGCCAGTGTCGTAGGTAGAATTTAAAGTACTTATTTGAAAAGAATTGCTTTTCTTTTTTGTTTGTTTTTTCTTGAAAATATTGAAAGCAAAAGCCTTTCATCTCCAAAACAAAAATGTAATTGAAAAGAGATAAGAGAAAGTGAGAGGTTATGTTGGATTAAAGCTGGTGGTCCTTCTGAAAAGGCATATAGTCCCCCTTGTCACTAAAGGTTTCACTCATTAGCACAACCACTCCAACATTAATTCCTCTGTCATGGGCAGCTCTTTGAATTCCCACCTCAAGTTGTTCGAATATACTTAGTTGACGTTAATGTAATTTACATATGCATAAATTATCTGCGTACAACTTTCGTTCTTTATCAAAGAACATGACACTACCCATGTTCAAATGAAGGTTGACATTTAATAAACTCATGGATGGCCAGGATTATTCCTACAAATTGTAATCCTCTCATAAGATTGCAAACATGACACTAGCCCTGTTTCAATGAAGGGAGACATGTAATCAGTATTCATATTTTTTCTTTAGGAAAATGTTCGGGAGGACCAAAATTTTAAACCATTTTTTGTAAATTATATGATGTGACGGTTGATGGTTTGACTCATTTTTTTTAAAGTAGTCCAACCATCAACTACTACATAACAGATTTTACAAAGTATAATCTAAAAAGTTAGTGTCCTGAACATTATCCTTTTGCTTTAAGAATCCACCGTCCGAAGGACAATCATGATAGCATTTTTTTTCTTCTTTTGGGTGGTCTGGAATACAATTATTGTTTTCTTTTCCAATTCCATGCTCACTTTCTTTCAAAATTATTGAGTTGCAACAGTGGAATTTTCTAGTACCCACGTTGCACAGTAAAGAATGTGAACAAGTTTTTCTTTGTCAATTTATAAGAAATACGAAGTTTTAAGTTGGAATTGTTAGCTTCATATACATATAAATTGTTCTTATTAATTTTTTTTTTTTAAAACAAACTTAAGTTTCTAGGGTGAACTTATTGTCTAACATTGTTAAAATTGAATTATCTTCTTACCCAACTGATGCAGTTACAAGACAAGATGCATCTCACATAAGGAATTACCTTGGCTCGAATGGATGAGGAGGAGTTCCTCCTCAATTCACTGCGTGACCGATTTACGAAACTTCATGTTTATAATCTATACCATTCATATTATAAGTCATTTTGTTAAGATCATCTTTACAAAAAAAAAAAATAAATAAATAATTGATTAAAATTGAGATCGTTAATTGATTTTTTTTTTGTACATAAGTTCCTTACAAAGTAATTTATAATATGAACGATTTCGATCATAAGCACAAATTTTTTGGAATACCATTCATCATTCAAAAGATCTTGTTAGAATCAAATTGGACAATTTAGGGCCTCAAATTTTCTCAGTTTTGACCTTCCAAAAGATCTTGTATACGTAATTAAGTTGGTCCAATTAGTCATTCAAAAGTAATTGGCTCTAACACAAATTGTTAGGCTATTTCCATTTTCGTTACTGAGCCCTAATAATTAGGTGCAACGGCTAGTTCCACGACTAGTAAGGCCCTTCTGAATGGATTTTGCTCACAAAGTTATATGACCAAGCACAAAAACTAACCCGACCAAGCCACAAAAAGAAGAGAGTTTGTTGTATAAGCTAATTAACTTGTGACCACAATGCATGCAAAGACAAAAGAGGCACCCAACTTATGTTGGGGTACTTGGGGAAAGAAAGCTTCAATAAGCTAACTAATTAGTTTATGAAGTGTATCCTTTTTTTTTTTTTGTCCGGGTTTTGGCTTGTTTGTTAGGACAATATGCTCACTCTTCTGTGTCTGAATTCGCTTTCGCCCTCTTATAGATTTTTTTTTTTTTTTTTTTTTTTTTTTTGGGCAATGCCCTATAGATTAGATAATTTAGAATATCACGTCAGAAAATTTCTGCTCATAACTCATGTTCACAATGGCTGCAGCATGAATCAAGTAAACTTTGGCCTAAATCAATTCAAATAATATCATTCATCATCAAAAGTTTACTTAATGCTTACAAAGTTACAAGCAACCTATCTATCTTACAAACTCAAAAGCTCGGCATGAGCACGAAGATGACTGGATTATCATTGCCACGACCCATGGTGATGGAACGCAAAAAAATTCTTGGAAACATATATGAATATATATGATACATAAAAATGTGGTTACATGCGAAAAATGTTGTCAGAAGGCGATTCTCTGCTGTCTTGACAATAAGCTTTTTTTGTCACCAAGTTGGAATGAGAAACTACGGCTGGCAGGCTGTTAACACAAATGCAGAAACGGTTCCTGTTTTATATGCTGCTGGTAGAACGTGACGAACGACTTCTGCTGCCTCGACCAGAACGATCTTTCCGAAACATGGCTTCAAAGTTTTGAAAGCATTGCAACGGTCTAACCTGTACATGTTATATGTGTAGGGGTGGGGCAAAAGGAGAAGGAATATTCAGCTATGCAAGTAGTAATGCAGGAACATAAAGGTAAACAAAGCAATAGCAAACCACCACAGGTAGAGAGGTCACCTTCCATTGACTTTTCTGACCAAGAGTGTTATAAATAAATTCCAGCCTTAATATTATTTGCCTAAATGCAGGTCTTTTAGCTGGATTCTCGTTCCAGCACTCCTCAATCAACCTGTGAGCAGGTATCACATTAACAAGATTAGCCTAGTTTTTATGACCCTAAAACACACAGAGGTAAACATAGAAGTTTTTATGCAGAAAAGTGAATTTGATTTGCATCCCAAAATCATAGCTCTCTCTCTCTCTCTCTCTCTCTGAGAAGAACTACACAAAACAGAACGGTAAAGAAGTTGACAAATAAGCGACAGTCAAAAGTCATGACAAAATCTCACTAGTTGAACATTAATTTTAATGGATAAGTTGGAGAAAGTTGACTTACTCTCTAAGACCATGTCTATAAAGCTTTTCTGGAGCTCTAAAAGGTGGGCGCTCTTTTGCAACATATGCTTTTGGAACTTCATTATCTTGCTGGGCAGCAAATGGTAGGCAGTTTTCTATCATCTACAAACAGTATCTTACAAAGTCACAAATGAAGCCTGATACATCAACTGATTGGTATGAACTACTTGGCACTTGATATTATGTTCTTCTGACAATAACTTATTACTAAACACAAACGTTTACTTAGATGAGGGTACACACTAAGATGGCATACCAATAACTTTATAAATACAGTTGGTCCAGTATTTAGAAATGAGTCATATTTACCTCTTGTAGAATTAGAGCAAAAGAGAATACATCCACTTTGGTATCATATTCTTCGTTCTTGAAAACCTCAGGAGCTATGTATCGACCTGTCAATCAAATTAACACATTCCACTCAAGACTACAAACACATATGGTCGCTTGTAGATTTATCAAGGGCTACTAAGCAAAGGAAAACTACAAACTTTTCTTGGCTAGGATCTATAAAACGTATTAGCTACAACGGTTTATTCCCAGAAGAAAATACTCACATGAAGTGTCTTGACAAATCAAAGGCCTATCCTCTTTAACTGTCAGCAACTTGCTAACTCCAAAATCTGCAACTTTCAGGTGCCCGGAATCATCCCGCAATATGTTCCTGTTATCTTACTCGTGAGCAACATAAAAATAAGATGCCGACTGTTCCACGCTATTATGAGAAACAAGGATTCATCTTTTTGGTAGTTCAATGCCAATATCAACATATGCTTTGCTCAGCAAAATAGGGAAAAAGAAAAGGGGTAGACCATTCGGTCTTTTAGATCACGTAAGTGCAAAGTGGAATGGGACTTTGACATGGGTTCAATTCTTGCCAAGAAAAAGAAAAGGCCAATGAAGAAGAAGAAGAAACTTACGAAGGCTCAAGATCCCGATGAATTATAGCTTCTGGCTTATTCTCATGCAAATAACTCATTCCCCTGTAAGATAACAAAAGATAGGTGGTGAGGAAAAATATCCAAGTACAATACATAATCTTACTCTCACAACAAGAATCAACCAACTAACTTTTCTTGTTTTATAGCTACTATTAGTCAAGCATTGATTAGTACATAGTCTCTCTTCATTTGTTAGCTAAAGAAATTTGGAACAAGATAAGCAAGGCCAATTCAAAGTAGTACCATACCTTGCAATATCGAGTGCAAGTTTTACAGCTGTAATTGGTTTTAGTGCTCCTCTTGTTTTCAAAAATGCACGAAGGTCTCCCTGCAATCAAAAGACAGAAGAATAAAGATTTAAGATCTAAAGAAAAATCTAAATTGTACCGGTTTTTAAGCTATAAACTAACTATTTTTCTCTCAACTTTCAATGGAACTGAACAGAGAAAAATGCTCTATGAACACTAACAATGTCATGCCTATTTGATTCTGGAATTTTCAATGAAACCCTAAAACTAAATTTGACGACTAACATATGCAAAAAAGGGTGGCATTCTAAAGAGTATCATATTCCACTCCACACTATAACATAGGAACTTCAACTTTTACTAGTAAACATTATGAAATAGACTCTTCTCACTATTTCAAAATACAGAGAGATGCAATGGTCACAAATACAAAATGAACAATAAGAAGGCCAAATATAAGCACAGAATAAACAAAACACGGGAATGGTAAGAACTCAGGAAACTATAAACCATGGCATTACTATTCCATGTTAAGAAGACCAACGGAATGGGAAAATACCTTAGGCAAATATTCTGTTACAATCATCATTGGACTGCTTTGAGTCACTGCACCCAAAAATTGGACTACATTTGGATGTCGTATCTTTTGAAGCAATGCAAGCTCATCCCTGAATGCCTTCCTGAAGAAAGACCAAATTGACCTATAAATTCAAAGATCATAAAGCAAGGAAATCACGAATTGAAAAAGCAACGAACAGTTTACAAAGAACGCACACTTTATCCTCATCAACAAGCACTTCCTCCGCGAGCATTTTAACTGCAACCTGTATTCCCCGCCAGGATGCAGTACGGTATGTTCCCTGTTAAACAACAAACGGTTGAACAGAATCAAATAAGGCGAGTGACAATACTAAAAGAGGCACAACACCCAATTGAACAACTAATCAAAATGCTTATAAAACACACAAAGATAAGATGGTTCCAACTCCGAGAGGTGTAATTCATAACAGGGGAAACAAGAAACCGCAAATCTGTATACCGAAGTAATTGGAAAACGAGAACTTTACCTTGGTAATTTCACCACTGTTGGTAAAGTCCAGTTCTTTGGGATCAATTTCATACTCTGGGACTTCTCTGGCATGCCTAACGTGCATGGGAGCCATCTGAATGTTGAACTCATACAAATTAGAATACAAAACGAGCATAATATACAAAATTAATACAAACCCAAATCATAAAACACATTTAGCTGAATTGGGTTTGTTTAATTTGTCAAAATTTAAAAATTCAAATCAGCTAAATTAATCAAAAAGTACCAGAGGCTTTGCCCCACGCTTTTCCAGAAGCTTGATCACGTCATGGTTTTTATAGTAAATAGCATCTGAAAGAGGCTGTTTAATCAACATTAGATTATCACTAATCACTAATTAAACATATTAATTTCCCATTTTTCAAATTTTTACATTGGAAATGGGTAATTATTATTTCAAAATTTCACTTACGGTACTCCCCCATCGGTCTTTGGGGTCAACGTCAGCACCGCGGTCGAGCAGCAGCGAAACGACGTTGGTGAGCCCCTGGCACGCGGCGACATGGAGAGCCGTCCGATCGTCGATGTCCCTGAAATTCACATCCAGTCCCGAATCCAGAAGCTCGTTAATCCCATCCAAATCAGCTTCATTGGCCAAATACATTAGCTTCACTCGGGGATCGATCCCCTCCGGATCATCCTCCTCACCCACGTGCTTCTCCCGCTCACGCTCCGGCGCCAGCGACGACTGCTTCCCCAGTGTGAACCTCAACGGCTGCGTTTTCAAATCCATTGCCAGCTTCTAAGAAGTGCTTTTCTGTACAGCAATTTGCTATATACGCGACGGATTTGTAGGAAAAGTGCTTTTAGTTCTCCGTTCGCGATTTCCGTTTTTATATTTTTCTGATGTGCGCCTCACCAACGAACTAGTCCTGGGGACAGTTGGCGTCGGCGGTGAAGTGTGAACTGTCACCAGCCAAGTGTGCCACACGGGAATATCAAATTTTCCTCCTTTTTCTTGGGGGGTCGTGAGGGGGTGTTAGGTTATTGAAGGAATTTTAGCTTAATGATGAATGATTATTGAGTAGCTCTGATCATTTCTTGCACAACCATTATTTTGACGCGAATTGATCCAAAAATAACGAGTTTGGGTAAATCTATTAATGAGTCGGATTGTTATTGAGTAATACATGAATGTGTCGAATCGTTATCACGTCATCTATTAAAGACTTGGTAAGATATCTTTTAACAGATCTAGACATTATGTATGACAATTTCTTACATCACTCGTTAATCCAATACGAAATGACATGACCTATTAACTAATCGAGTCATTACTGAATCACCAGTTAGGGATCCGTTATCTTAACGAACTGACACGACACATTAAGATAACTGGTATAACACGAACATGACAAACACGAATAGTTTGCAAATAGCCCCTAAAAATATAATTACAAAATAAGAAAAAAGAATTTTGAATTTTCTTACAAAGAAGTCCCCATCAAGACAAGTTTCTTCTTTTCCCATAATTTCTTGTCGACCACCTTTCCCTTATCCATTAGAAAGGATATGGATGTCCTAATATGGTTGTCAATTACTTCCACAGTTTGACATGGTCATCTCCTGAAATTAACGAGCAGTTGCTATTTGAATAATGTTGGAAACCTAATGTACACATGTTATATTTCCGTTCTCCAGCACACTTTTATGTTCACTTTCTCTCGGTAAATTTTTTGATTTACATATGTTGAACGCAAAGTATGGGGAAATAAATAACAAACTGATTCAAGTACAATTATGTTCAATTATTATATAGAACAACACATAATAGCGTTAAACTTTTCGCATATAAGTATATACGATTCTATTTATTGTGAGTGAGTTGTTCTATGCAACAACTGTAACCAAGACTTTCTCTTGTCACGATGACTAAGTTGTTTTATGGTAAAACAAAAGAAATGAGAGGAAGATGAGGTTGGCATTGGCCAGGTCGGCTGCAACTTGTCAATTTGATAATCTTCTTCCCGCCATCACCAACACCAAATTAAAGTCTTGTCTCAATCATGGCAAGTGGTCAAGAGAAAAAAACCTCCCTCCTTTTTCTAATGGGTTCAGTTTTATTGGCTTGTTCAATGTACCATAAAAAATGAACAAATTGAGCATATCTATCAAAGGAAAAGATGCTCCATCAATGTGCTAAAGAATAATTACAAGGGGACGACCTCAAGCTAAGAAGGTTTCTTGTTTTACAAAGGTTGAGAGGAGGGAACATCTATCGTGCACAACCTTATTTTTGTTTTGCAAAGAGACTGTATCCACAACTCGAGTCGATGACCTTTCGGTCACCAAGAAGGAACATTTCCGTTACGCCAAGATTCATCCTCAACTTAAGAATAATTACAATCATAAATAAAAAAAGAATTGGGTTGGGGATCGGATTTTGACAATTAATGAATCAAATGATAGGGGGTGGGTTGCAAGTCAAAATATCCAGAGAACAATTAAGGCCGGCTGCCGTTGACAACTAACTAAAGAAATAAATAAATATAGGTTTTTGCATGATATTCTTGTGACTGGATAAGATCCATCACATGGAAGCTTACATACTTTGCTTAGGATCTATGCTATATTTTCGATTGAATTTCTTGACCGTTGTAATATTATTAAGGGATACATTGGATGCGGTCTAGTCTGCCATGCTGCCATCACCATTTTTTTGCTCCTTGCACCTATTTTTAGCACATTAATTACAAAGATAATAGACCTAGCAAATGTGCCTTTTTTTCATTTCCAGGTTGTGTCCAAACGTATTTTCTTCTGGGTGTTGGACGCGATCATCTTTCTTTAACAAGTTGATATGAACACGGCTCGTTAAATTAACAGGTTAAAAAATTTCAAGCACAAACACAACTCACAAATTAACAGATCCCCACCCGTTTAAAGAATCATAATGGGAGTAATAGAACCACCGAACTAGTTTCTTCTTTAACCCAAAGGAACAAGGGCAACAAAGATTTGGGCTCTTTTTTTCATTTTTTATTTTTTATTTTTTTGTCTTTATATGCTTTCATTGGCCCAAAATAAAATGGGAAACAAGAATTTAGCCTTTTATTCTGTATAGACCGGTCTTTTAATTTCATTGGAAACAAATAAAAGTTCAACAAGTCCTAGTCCACCCCACGAGGATGAATCTGTCTTGTAATCTGTTGTATAACGCAATCGTTCATTTTTATTTGGATTTGTTTTATTTTTGTTTTATATTTGAATTATATCTTTGGACCAAAATTGTAACCTCGGTCAAAAATCTCATCAAACTCATTGGAGAGGGATATAAGTTGAAAGTCTCATTCAAAAAAACTTAAAAATGGAACATATTAAAATCATAGTTGATTAGTGGTCACCAAACCAAGCGTTTGCTTAAGGAACAAACACAAGCTGGCCTAAAAACCCCAGCCTACTTCCAACTTGTTAATGTTCTTGATCACGCAAGACAATTTTTGCCCAAGGAAAAAAGAGAAAAGATCAAGAGATGAGGGGTACACTGAAATAGAATCTGATTAGAAGCTTAAATATAAGCATGCAGTAAGAGAAGTAAAATTCGATTTGACAGTGCACTCAACAATCTTTCTCCCAGGATTTGAGAGTTTTATCTTCGGTGTCGGTTTTGTACAATGCAAGGCGAGTAACGGGGAAGCTCAGGCTGGCAATGAGACTGTTAGCTTTTTCGTGCGCCATTTTCTTCTCTTCGTCGGTCATCCTCATCACAACAACGACTTAGTGCCTAGGCACTTAACTTTTCTATGTTTTGATACAACGATATCAAAAACTTAGAGAAGCTAAGCCACTAGGCACTAAGTTAGTCTTTGACTGGGTAAAGATATGTTATTAGGGTTCAAAAAATCTTTCTAATGTAATAAAAGAGAAAACTAATAAAAGTTGAATTTATAGTATTTTTAAGTTTGGGGTGATTTTCAAATTGGGCCATGAGGTTTAAACTTATTCACATTACACCATGAAGTTTTAACACAATATCAATTTATGCCTTATGTCAAACAAATCATTTAAATCTTCATGTCATCAATGAGCGTGGAACCTGCAATTGAGTTGACAGGTAAGCCATATTTGTACAAAATAGACTAAAAAACTCATCAATTTGACATAGAATTAGATGTTCAAGTAGACAAAAGATATAAACTGATCAATTACAAAACATTAGGATGCTATGTGAGAAACGTAGTTAGCCCTATATCTATTTATCTACAAGCAATATTAGAGGAGAGGTGCTTAGAACCTCAGATGCAAGATTAAGCTCATTTAACTACTAATTGTTTAGCTTCATATGAAACGTACCTCGGCTTTCAGCTCTCTCTTTATTAATAAACACAATAATTTGAGTACTGTCAATGAATACAAGAATTCAAATGATTGATCCAAACATCTATAAAGTAAGCAATAAAAAAAATACACGATATAAAAAGGAGAATGAATAAGAGTGAAGAAATGATGATAAGAGAAATGTAGAAAAAGCACACGGAAAAAAAAACTCAGAATCCACATTCAGTGTTATAATTTTGGTATGATGAGACTAGAAGGGAGCAGTTAATTGGGGATATTGAGATCGTTCTTCTGGGAATAATTTAGTTCAGACCAAACAAAAACTAAGGGCATGAAGTTTTAGACCAAAAGAAAAGTTTTGCCTTAAAGTTACCCCCACCCCATTGTCAAATCCTAGGTTCGTCCCTATAACTTACCCCTGTCGACCTGCGTGCACCAGAATTGACCTAAAGGCCGGCTTTGATCTCATTAGCATGCGAATGCCAAAGCTTTTCCTCATCCGGAGGCAGCGACAAATTGTGAATGAAGCCTTAACCATAATCGACCAAAAAATATAAATAAGGGCTAGCTTAACCCGAAAACGACGGTATAGTCGTGGACGGCGACTGAAGTCAGTCCTGGTTGAGGCTGTGTTTGGTTCAATCTATTAAAATCGGATCGGATCGTGCTAAGTTGACCTCAAAACATGCAGGACTTGTGTTGAGATGGATTTGCTCGATCCATTGTATACTTATGGTTAGGGATAGGCTGGGTCCAGTTTGGATCGGTTTCACTCTATGGTCAAACAACTATTGTGTGTTGCAGTTTGATTCGGCTTGAGCTAATGCGAGAAGATAAACCAGTGTTGGGCTTGGTGGTTTGACCTTTAAGCATAACCTAAATACTTTTTATTACTCTCTTTTGGAATGGTATTTTTTTTTTTTTTTTTTTTTTTTTTCGCTATATAAATTATACAGATTTAGATCTAGCAGTAACTTATATATGTTCAGTGAAACACAAAATATTAATACGTGAGAAATGAAACAAACACATCATACTTGCTTTCTACAATCTTATGATGTCAAATTCATAATAAACCTAACAATTATGACAATTTTAAGCATATTTGAAGTTAACATTGCATCCAACATTCTAATTTCGGCCTAGTTTGATACTGAGGTGATTCTGAAAAAATCTGGTATCAAAAAAAGTTGGGAGTTGTTTTTGTGTTTGGTAAACATTCAGCTTCAGCTTTTTTTCACAGTTTTGGGTGAAAAAAAAGCCAAAAACAAGAAGCTGCAAAACCCAGCTTTGAAAAACCGACTTTTTTTTCATATCTGTTTTACATAAAAGTTTACCAAACACTATAATACTGCTTTTTTTTTTTTTTTTTCAAAAGCACTTTTACAAAAAGGTTTACCAAACACTCTGCTGCTTTATTTCATAGCTGCTTATTCTCACAGCACAGCAGAAACAGCTTTTTTTTTCAAAACACAGTAATACCAAACCAGCCCAAATCTCTAACATCTTAATGACATTCAAAATTTGATCAAGCTACACTAACAGTCTAAATTGTCTAGTAATATTATTATAAAATTATTTGGACACAAAAAACTGATACACACTCTAATAGAAGTGACACTTATCATTATACATGGTTGCTATCTAGACTAAAGAGTGTGTCAGCAAGTGCGTTAGTTTTGTGTGTCAAATAACATCGCCCATTATGTTTTGAATAAATAATAAGAGAAAGTG